TATCTTAGGATTTTTGAGTGTATCCAAGATTTTTGAATGATTTTTTAGAAAAATTAGAAGGATTTCCAAGAATATCCAATGATTATTACGAATGTCCAGGAGTTCTACTTCTTCCCAGACACTTATGTATGCATTTCTTAGTATTTCCAGGAAATTTCCAAAAGATTTCAACGGATTTTCAAGTATACCACAAAATTTCTCAGAATACTTAAGGTTATCTAGGATTTTGCAGGGATTTCTACAGAATTTCAAGTTTTTAGAAGATTTTATAGGAATTTCCAAACATATCTAGGGATTTTGAAACGATTTTCAAAAATTTCTATATTCAACTAGGTATTTTTAAAAATTTTAAGGAATTTAGACACATTTTCAAAGCTATCCATCGATGTTTTACGTATATCTTAGGATTTTTGAGTGTATCCAAGATTTTTGAATGATTTTTTAGAAAAATTAGATGGATTTCCAAGGATATCCAATGATTATTACGAATGTCCAGGAGTTTTAATTCTTCCCAAACACTTATGCATGCATTTCTTACTATTTCCAGGAAATTTCCAAAAGATTTCAACGGATTTTCAAGTGTACCATAAAAATTTCTCAAAATACCTAAGGTTATCTAGGATTTTGCAGAGATTTCTACAGAATTTCAAGTTTTTACAAGATTTTATAGGAATTTCCAAACATAACTAGGTATTTCTAAAAATTTGAAGGAATTTAGACACATTTTCAAAGCTCTCTATTTAGTTATTCCCAAAGATTTATGTAGGCATTTTTTAGTATTTCCAGAAGATTTCAACTAATTTTTCAAGCATACCATGAAGATTTCATAGAATTCCTAAGATTATCTAGGATTTTGAAGAAAACTTTAAAATTGGTTAAGTACTGGAAGTAGATAAACTATTTGGAGTAAACAAATAGTTGTTCAAGTACTTCTTACGTCAAACAAGTAACAATTATCCAGAACATTTTAAACTAAATACTAAAAATACAAGTATTATGTACCTACAATTTGAAAGTACTGGCAGTAGATTAAAAATAAAAAAGTACTGAAAAGTTTACTTGCAGTATATTTTTATTGCAGCTACTTGCAATAAAAATGTTAACTCTGGTTCTAATTTTAATTCAATAACAATACAACCTAGCGCTACCTAATGCTAATTAGCGCTACTTAGAACTAACTCTAGATCTAGAACTAGTATCATTCGGAATTAGCTGCACGTCTCTAAAGACAGCTAAACTCGAATGTTTTTAGTTCTACGTCTACTGTTAGTTCTACTTTTATTGTAATAAAAATATACAACCTCGCGGTATCTAGTACTAATTAGCGCTACTTAGAACTGTCACTAGAACTAACTCTAGAACTAGAATCATTCGGGTTTAGCCGCACGTGTCTAAAGACAGCTGAACCTGAATGATTCTAGTTCTAGGTCTAGAGTTAGCTCTAATTTTAGTTCAATAACAATACACAACTCACTAGAATTAGACTCACTAGAGTCTAAGAGTAGAGTCACTAGAATTAACTCTAGATCAAGAACTAGAATCATTCGGGATTAACGCACGACTTTAAAGACGGCTAAACCCGAATGTTTCTAGTTCTAGGTCTACTATTAGTTTTACTTTTATTGTAATAAAAATATACAACAATCTAGCACTGAATAGCAACTAAAACTAGAACTAACACTAGAGCTAGAACTAGAAACATCCTGTAATGGTGGGAATCCATGTTCCAAGTCATTTCAATAAAATAAAAAGTTTACTTCATTCTTGCTTGTAGTATTTTATTTCAAAACTAGTTTCGAGAGTGTTCTCTCATCATCTGTTGAAAACTGTGCATGAAATTACAAAGATTTCTTGTATTAGCACGAAAAATAGCATCAAAATGAATTAAAACCACGCTACATTTTAAGTTTTTAACGTCTATGTTTTAAAGTTTAACTTTATAATAATGTGTTTTAATTGTTTAAAAATATTACATAAGGTTTTAATGGTTTTGATTTTGTTTGTTTTTAATATGTTCGTGAATAATATGATGCTTTCCTCGACTTTTACTGTACAAGTCTCGAAATTTGACCGTAAGTTTTTGCCATTTATATATTTTTATTTTTTGTTTTATGTCTTTCAATTTTCTTTAATTCATTTTGATGCTATTTTTCGTGCTAATACCAGAAATCTTTGTAATTTCATGTACAGGACGGTTCAAATTCGATGTCCGAATAGGCTAACTCGGAAACTATAAGAGTTAGAAAAAAAGTAGCTTACATGTCATGATCTCGTTTTTCGAGAAACTGCTAATGAAGTTTAAAGAGAAAAATTGAAAATTTCGTAAAACCAGCAAGTGTAATTATCTTCGTTATTATTCTGGGTGGGGTATTATAACTAAGACATTATATGAACACTTTTTTACAGAGAATATGATGACGTAGCCAAAAAAAAATTTTTGTTTTTGGTTTTTGGGTTTTTTTGCCATTTTAATTTTTTTAAACGGAAACAACCACTGATTATTCGCTTACTAAATTCGTTATTTTTTTCTGATTACAAAAATATAGGGTTCGACAAGTCTATTTCTTATTGTTTTAGAATAAAGCTAAAAATTAACTTTTCTTTTAGTGTCTTCCAAGAAATTAAATTTACAGTTTCCTGTAAATTATGGTACTATAATTAAAAATTAAAAAAACATATTTCTGATATTTGAAACAAATATATTTGTTGAACTATTTAATTTATATATGTAATTATACAAAAGTTGGAATAGATTGCATTATTTCACATTTTTTATTAATATTATTCTTAAATGACTTAATAAATTATTGATAGATGGCGCCATATGTTTTTTTTTTGAATTCAAATAGACACAGAAACATTTGTTTGTATTCAAAAATTTTCTAAAGTGTCACTTTAAAAATCCTGTTTTTTAAGATGGATTACGAAAAGTTTAACATGTTAGAATGTTGCATATTAGAAAATAAAGTAAATTTTATATAAATTTTTAGTAGAATAATTCTTAGTTATAGTACCGTAATTTACAGGAAACTGTAAATTTAATTTCGTCGACGACACTAGATGGAAATTTTATAAAAAAAGTTTATAAGTTATTTTTAGCTTCATTCTAAAACAATAAGAAATAGACCTTTCGAACCTTATATTTTTGTAATTAGAAAAAAATAAAGAATTTAATAAGCGAATAATCAGTGGTTGTTTCCATTTAAAAAAATGAAAATTGTCATATCTCAAAATCTAAAACCGAAAAATTTTGTTTGTCTACATCATCAAATTCTCTGTAAAAAAGTGTCCATATAATGTTTTAGTTATAATAACCCACCTAGAATAATAACGAAGATAATTGCACTTGCTGGTTTTACGATATTTTCAATTTTAGCCTCTAGCGGAAAAACAAAAGACGATAGCGCTATGAGGTTTTCGGCATTAGCAGTTTCTCGAAAAACGAAATCATGACATGTAAGCTACTTTTTTTCTAACTCTTATAGTTTCCGAGTTAGCCTATTCGGACATCGAATTTGAACCACCCTGTACAGTTTTCAACTGATGATGAGAGAACACTCTCCAAACTAGTTTTGAAATAAAATACTACAAGCAAGAAAGAAACATCCTGGTTCAGCCGTGCGTCTTCAACGTGTTCTAGTTTTAATTCAATAACCTAGCACAAAACACAACCTAGCTCCATCTAGTGCTAATTAGCGTTACATAGAACGGTCACTAGAATTAACTCCAGTTCTAGGTCTAGAGTTAGTTCTAGTTTTAATTCAATAGCAATACACAACCTAGCGCTATCTACTGCTAATTAGCGCTACTTAAAGCTGTCACTAGAACTAACACTACACCTAGCAACTATAGCTTTTCAAGTTGAAATTGGCATTAATCAAATTCAAAATGGCATTAAACAAAATGACATTAATCAACATCAAATTGGCATTCAATAATTTAATAAAACAATCTTTGATTCTTGATTAACGTTTTAAACGAATAATTTTATACTTGGTAATAACCAATATTGTTAACTCAAAAGATGACAACCTCCATGTTTAAAATAGAGGTGTTGTGCTTTTGAATTCTGGCTATAAATCTGTTACAGTTAGTTACATTAATTTTTGGAATATTGTTCTTAATTATATTTTCTAATTTTCGAATTCTGTACTTTGTTTGAGACAAATTTTCTTGGTCATTTTCCTCTTAAATAATATAAAGACTTAGTCTTACAAGTTTCTGATAAAATAATTCTTGTTTTTCAACACCACAATGACAAGGAGCATTATCAATGACTAAAACCACTGAACATTAGCTATCTTGAGTTCTTTTAAATGACCCCTTCATAATTCATGATAAATTAATCCCAAGTGTAATGTTTTCACTTTAAAGCTTAAGCAAATTTCTTAGGTATTCAAATGTTTTTGTATTCACTTCGACTGTGTTGGTTCTTTCTGGTTCAAAACGTATTTGTTTTAATGTAAACATGAGGCCATCAAAGTGTAGTTGAATACACTCCTTGCTTACATTAAGCTGAAACTCATTTCTTAATGTTTCTTGCGCCTGCTTAAGTGTGATTTTAGGATTTTCTTCAACTTTAAGTTCAAAGAAGCGGTGATGCTCATCTGTAATTTTTATTTTGTTTTCCTTTTCTTGGTTTTTCTTCTTTTTCTTGATTTTTTACCAATCTCAACTGTTCTTTTTGCAACACCAAGAATTTCAGCTAAATTGCACCAGACGCATTTCATTGGCACACATTTGTTGGCATTTTGTGCATAGTTTGTTAACACTGACAATTTGTAATTGATTAATGTCATTTTGATTTTGATTAATGCCAATTTGATTATGACAGTCGCCAAATTGGTTTTGTTTAATGCCATTTTGAGTTTGATTAATGCCAATTTGAACTTGAAATGGTATAGAAACATTCGCGTTTAGCCACACATCACTAAAGATAGCTAAACCAGAATGATTCTATTTCTAGATCTAGAGTTAGTGGGTCTGAAGAATTGTTTTACCTGTTGTAGAGCATTCATGCATTTAATATAAACCGGATCTCTCATAACAATCATTAAAATCGGCATTTGGTTATCAATTAAAGCCAATGGTCCATGTTTTAATTCGCCAGCCATGATTCCTTCACTGTGCATGTAAGTTAATTCTTTTACTTTCTAAAAGAATTAACAAAAAAAAAATTAAACTGATTTAATTAATTAAAATTTATTAAAACATACCAAGGCACCTTCCAAACAAGTTGCGAAATTAAATCCACGCCCCATAATTAAAAGTGATTTCTGTTGATACAAATCCTTGGCCAATTCTTCAACCTCCTTATCCAACTGTAAAACCGTGCGAATTTGCTCGTCAATAATTTGTAATCCTTCGATAATTTCACGTCTTCTCTTCGCTAAAGAATTACGATCCTCGGACATAACCAAAGCGAACATGACCAAAGAAATAAATTGGCTTGTGTAAGCTTTTGTTGAAGCGACTCCAATTTCCGGTCCGGCGTTAATGTGAACTCCGCAATGGGATTCGCGACAAATCGAGCTCCCCACGGTGTTTGTGATCCCGACGATTAAAGCCCCGCGGGATTTGCAATAACGCAAAGCCATTAAGGTGTCGGCAGTTTCGCCCGATTGCGAAATAAAGAAGCAAACGTCGTCTCTAAAAACTGGAGTGGTGCGATCTAAAAAGTCGCTCGCCAATTCGACCATCACAGGGAGTTCGGTGAGTTCTTCTAAAAGTTGTCTGGTAGCGATTGCGCTATGGTAACTTGTACCGCAACCGATTAACATTAATCTGCGGCACCTTTTTATCTCTTGAACGTAATCTTTTATACCACCAAGGGTTACAGTCTAAATTAAAAAAATTAATTTAAACAAAATTAATTAATTACAAAATTATAATTACGTGATTTTCAAAATTAACTCTTCCCCTCATAGTATTAACAACAGATTCGGGTTGTTCGAAAATTTCTTTTTGCATAAAATGGCTGTAATTGCCTTTCATAATTTGTTGGAGTTCTATTTTTAAGGTGGTAATCTCGCGGGAATGAGGATCATCCAATGATCTTCTCAAGCGATGAATGCTTAAAGCCCCGTCTTTAACGGCGGCTACATCGTCATCTTCGAAATAAATCACACGATTTGTGTGTTCGATGACGGCGGAAGCGTCGGAGGCGAAGAAATACTCAACTTCGTTGTCTTCTAATGGTTGAAATTCGGATGTGGATTCGGTGCGGGGTAATAATGGCATATCTCCGCGGCCGTGGGGGCGGTGATCTGGTAATGATTGAAAAGGAAAGAATTGGTAAAAATGAGATTTATGGTAAATTGTTTGAAAAAAATTGAGGTGGAATTAAAAGAAGAAGCACAGAAATTTTAAAAGAATAAAAGTGTTTAAGTACGCATGTGAAGTTAGTTACAAATTTTTAAATTAAGAGTGGAAGTAAATTGAGAATAGCATCGAGCTTAGCTTTTGGTAAATCAAAGTTAATAAATAAGATAAGTACAAAAAAACTTTTTCTCAAAGTTCCAATATTGGAACTATGGGCAAAACGGATCCATAAAGATTTTTCATAATTTCAAACTCTTCACAACTGCAGAACTCATTCAAATAATAGAAGACGAGGATTTTTGGGTAGCTGATGTTTCTATCACTCCTCTAGATGATGGTGCTGAAAGTGCCGAAGATAGCGGCAATAAAGACTTATGGCTAAACACGAATGATTCTAGTTCTTGGACTAGAGTTAGTTCTAGTTTTATAACAATACACAACCTAACACAATATAGTGATAACTAGTGCTACTTAGAACTGTCAAAGTAGAACTAACACTAGACCTAGAATTAGAATCATTTGAGTTTAGCCGCACGTCTGCAAAGACGGCTAAACCCGAATGATTCTAGTTCTAGGTCTAGTGTTAGCTCTACTTTTATTGTAATAAAAATATACAGCAATCTAGCACTTAATAACAACTAAAACTAACACTAGACCTACAACTAGAACTAGAGAATGATTCTAGTTCTAAGTCTACAGTTAGTTCCAGTTTTAGTTCAATAACAATACGCAACCTAGCGCTATCTAGTACTAACTAGCGCTACTTAGAACTGTCACTAAAACTAACTCTAGATCTAGAACTAGAATCATTCGGGTTTAGCCACACGTCTTTAAAGACGGCTAAACCCGAATTATTCTAGTTCTAGGTCTACAGTTAGTTCCAGTTTTAGTTCAATAACTATACACAACCTAGCGCTATCTAGTACTAATTAGCGCTACTTAGAACTGTCACTAGAACTAACTGTAGATCTATAACTAGAATCATTCGGGTTTAGCCACACGTCTTTAAAGACGGCTAAACCCGAATGATTCTAGTTCTAGGTCTAGAGTTAGTTCTAGGTTTAGTTCAATAACAATACACAACCTAGCGCTATCTAACACTACTTAGAACTGTCACTAGAACTAACTCTAGATCTATAACTAGAATCATTCGGGTTTAGCTACACGTCTTTAAAGACGGCTAAACCCGAATGATTCTAGTTCTAGGTTTAGTTCAATAACAATACACAACCTAGCGCTATCTAACACTACTTAGAACTGTCACTAGAACTAACTCTAGATCTATAACTAGAATCATTCGGGTTTAGCCACACGTCTCTAAAGACGGCTAAACCTGAATGATTCTAGTTCTAGATCTAAAGTTAGTTCTAGTTTAGTTCAATAATAATACACAACCTAGCGCTATCTAAAGCGCCTTTCACACGATCAATATACAGGGTGTACAAAAAGTATAGAATAATGGTTCTTTAGGCAATTTATCTTAGCAACTGTGGTTAGCAACGAAATTGTTTGGAGTCAGTATAAGCTCCGCCCATCTCTGTGACGTCAAACTTATTCAGTCTATTGAAAAATTACATATCCGGATTTTTCGTTAGCAACACAGTTAGCAACGAAGATGTTTGGAGTCGGTTAAGCTCCACCCATCCCTGTGACGTCAAGGCTTAGGTTGTCTATTCCATAAGGACGCCATAATTTGGTTGTCGCTACGTCAAATCTTTTTAAATAAAAGTTTCAATATCTCGAAAACTATGCAGTTTAAAGCATTAAAACCTTATGGCATTTTGCAACAACTTGTCAAAAGGAATCCAAAAACCTTAAAATATACAAAAAACACACTCATCATGTCGTAACTTAGACTGCCGTCATCATTTTTATTTTATTTCTACGGCAAGATATGCGGAAAATAGTTTCAAGTAACTTTTATTTGAAACTTTTTTTAATATAAGTTGAAGTTTGGGCTGTAGAACCATTATTCCATACTTTTTGTACACCCTGTATATTATATTGTCAATATCTATGTATTGACAATATTATTGAACGTGTGAGTAGAAAGATTGACAGATTGTCAATATTAAAAATTATTGATGAGATGGTTTGACGAAAACAAAATATTTGATGCATTGACAATAAATATTGACAGTCTGAGGGAGATATTGACAATCCTACGTTAGTAGGATTATATTACGGATTATATCGCGTAATAATAAATTCAGACAGATATACTTTAATGGACAAAACTGCTATTAACGCCCCGGATGATTTATTAACACATGCAAACATGACANCGGATTATATCGCGTAATAATAAATTCAGACAGATATACTTTAATGGACAAAACTACTATGAACTCCCCGGATGATTTATTAACACATGCAAACATGACATCTTTGACTGCCAACGCAAAACTAAGTAGATTGTCAATAAATATTGATAGTCTGAGACAATCACAGTTTGTCAATATTTATTGGCCATATTAACAATATTTTATTGAGAATATATATTAATCGTGTGAAGGGCGCTTAATGCTTTCTAGCGCTACTTAGAACTGTCACTAGAACTAACTCTAGATCTAAAAATAGAATCATTCGGGTTTAGCCACACGTCTCTAAAGACGGCTAAACCTAAATGATTCTAGTTCTAGGTCTAGAGTTAGTTCTAGTTTAGTTCAATAACAATACACAATCTAGCGCTATCTAGCACTACTTAGAACTGTGACTAGAACTAACTCTAGATCTAAAACTAGAGTCATTCGGGTTTAGCCACATGCCTCTAAAGACGGCTAAACCCGAATGATTCTAGGTCTAGAGTTAGTTCTAGTTTTATTTCAATAACAATACACAACCTAGCGCTATCTAATGCTAGTTAGCACTACTTAGAACTGTCACTAGAACTAACTCTAGATCTATAACTAGAATCATTCGGGTTTAGCCATACGTCTCTAAAGACGGCTAAACCCGAATGATTCTAATTCTAGGTCTAGAGCTAGTTCCAGTTTTAGATCAATAACAATACACAACCTAGCGCTATNAAATATTGACAGTCTGAGGGAGATATTGACAATTCTACGTTAGTAGGATTATATTACGGATTATATCGCGTAATAATAAATTCAGACAGATATACTTTAATGGACAAAACTGCTATTAACGCCCCGGATGATTTATTAACACATGCAAACATGACAATATTATATTGACAATATTTTATTAACAATATATATTAATCGTGTGAAGGGCGCTTATGCTATCTAACGCTACTTAGAATTGTCAGTAGAACTAACAATCATTCGGGTTTAGTCACACCTCTTTAAAGACGGCTAAACCTGAATGATTCTAGTTCTAGGTCTAGAATTAGTTCTAGTTTTAGTTCAATAACAGTACACAATCTAGCGTTAGAGCTACTTAGAACTGTCACTAGAACTAACTCTAGATTTAAAACTAGAATCATTCGGGTTTAGCCACACGTCTCTAAAGACGGCTAAACCCGAATGATTCTAATTCTAGGTCTAGAGCTAGTTCCAGTTTTAGATCAATAACAATACACAACCTAGCGCTACCTAGTGCTAATTAGCGCTACTTAGAACTGTCACTAGAACTAACTCTAGATCTATAACTAGAATCATTCGGGTTTAGCCATACGTCTCTAAAGACGGCTAAACCCGAATGATTCTAATTCTAGGTCTAGAGCTAGTTCCAGTTTTAGATCAATAACAATACACAACCTAGCGCTATTCAGAACTGCCACTAGAACTAACTCTAGATCTAAAAGCAGAATCATTCGGGTTTAGCCACACGTCTCTAAAGACGGTAGCTAAACGGTGCTAAAAGTGCCGAAGATAGCGGCAATAAAGACTTCTGCAACGACATCAATAACTAGATGATCGACAGCTTCAAGCTGAAGCTATGGCGAAAATTACAAATCAAGAACGGACTTTCACAATTGGTGATAACGACACTAACGAAGAGTCAAATAGTGACAACGAACCTTTGTCAGAAATACAAAAGAAGTTACCGAAAAAAAGAACCTAACAAAAATCCGATGATATTTCTGGACTTCCGAACTTTGAGAAATTGATGAAATCAGCGCCCATTCTTTCTAATCCGGTGGAATGCTTTGAGCTTTTTCTTGATGATACTATTATAACATTTTTGGCAGAAATAACGATGTTATACGCACAGCAAAAGAGTGAACTTAATTTTCGAGTTTCGAATGAAGAAGTAAAGTGTTTTTTGGAAATTAGTGTATTAATGCCGGTTTTGGATCAAGAGCGGCTCCTGGTGACGTCACGCTCCAATGTTATAAGTATAGGGAAAGTGGCCAACTTAAATCTGGGGGGCTAAAAACTTATTACATTTAGGTTGGTATTGGAAAAGTAACTAGACTTAACCTAAAAAATTTCGCCATTTATACTACTATTATCTATCTATTGTATTGTTTCTAAATGTAGAATGAGGTGGGAGTTAGGAACCGACTCTTGCAATATGGCACTAACAAATTCTATGGGTAGAAATAGATTCGAAATGATAAAAAGATATCTCCACTGTGCAGATAATAAGAACATAGCTCCGGGCGACAAATTTGCAAATCTACGAGAATTGATATCCCTATATCTAAAATGTATAGGTTATTATATTTTTGTAATCAGAAAAAAATAACGAATTTAATAAGCGAAGAGGTTGTTTCCATTTAAAAAAACGAAAATTGTCTTAATATCTTAAAATCTAAAACCGAAAAATTTTTTTTGACTACGTCATCAAATTCTCTGTAAAAAAGTGTCCATATAATGTCTTAGTTATAATACTCCACCTATAATAATAACCAAGATAATTGCACCTCCTGGTTTTACGATACTTTCAATTTTGGCCTCTAGGGGAAAAACAAAAGACGATAGCGCTTTGAGGTTTTTGGCATTAGCAGTTTCTCGAAAAACGAGATCATGACATGTAAGCTACTTTTTTTCGAACTCTTATAGTTTCCGAGATAGCCTATTCGGACCAACCTGTACGGTTTTCATAGAAACTTGAAAAAAAAAATGCTATTTTCTCGATTATAAGTAAATTTCAAATTATCAGTTGGCTTTGGTTTGAAGCAACCAAACCGAAGAAACAAAAGCTATCGTATTAAAACAAATAATTTGATGTTTACGTAGCAAACGTGTTAATCATGTTCCGTTTAGGATTTAGGAATTGTAGAACCTACGGCCAGATTGTTGGAAAGCACAAAAGAGTCTCCTTACATTCTAGAGCACAATAACTTTTGTGTCATATCACTTCCCTGAAATCAAAGCTAACTGATAATTTTAAATTTACTAATACCTAAGAAAATTTCATTTTTTCAAGTTTCTACGAAAACCATAAATTTTAGATATAGGGATGTAATGACATAGTTCCCTTATTTTTCAGCGTACAATACGCTGGCCAAAAAAAAGTTTGGGTTGTCATTTAAAAAAATGAAGTTTTCGACTTTTCGAGATGGGGAAATTCGGCGCAAATTTCTGACCATCCTGTATAATTTTTTAAAAAACTTTTCAAGAGTTATGTAAGCTATGGGTCATTTCTGTGCAAACCTTAAGAATATTTGGCCGGACTTGAGTGTACTTTCGAAAAATTATTTTTGTGAAGGGTTTGCACCTTCCAAAATTAAAAAAAAAAAACTAAAATAACCAAGTAATAACTCAAAAATAGTGCACTCTAGACATATGATGACTTATATCAAATTATATTGAAATTTAGCGGGGATCCCGAAAATTCAATAAAAATTAGTACATTCCATTTAAAATAACGAAGTTGGGGTCCATTTCCGATATAACCAGAAATTGGAGAAAACTGAAAATATTTTAGCTGAAACGAGCACCTCGGATAAACGCTATATGCAAATTTTCAGAAAAATAGTGCCGGTAGTTTGCCACATACATATAGACTCGTCGTGATAGACCCTGTATACAGGTGACCCGTATCTTCCGCATCGGAGCATTATACGGTTGTAGGATACATTATTCTGACGCGATCTTTCTAATAAAATTTTTCCGTAATGTTTATAAAAACCCCACGGGAATTCTTTTTCGTCCAATAGCAGATCGTAAATCAGACACAGGTAATTGGCCCAACTCTCGGCCAGTCCGCCGCGCCAGTAGATTCGACACGGAAAGAGAAATAAACTTTTTTCGTGAATTCATGAATCCGCTATTGGACATCTTTAAACAGTTCCCGATTGTACTTCCTAAACGGCAGTCTTGGGTCGAAAATGAAAATTCTCAGGTTCAGGCAGATATTTGCATGTTCACAGATGGATCAAAAACATCGGAAGGGGTTAAATACTAACAGACACTTCGAATTAAGCAAGCATACAGCCCGGGTACGTACTGTACTGTATTCCAGACGGAATACAATATTCCAAATATTTGCTATTGACATGGGTGTTAGAATCCTGCTTGAGAGAGGGCTGAAGAATATGACAGTACGATTTTTCTCAGACAGTTAAGCCGCTCTTTAGGTTCGCGCTCTGGTTAATTGTGATAACAGAGTTTCTCTGATCTGAGTCCCAGGACACTCTGGTTGCTGGCAATGAAGCAGCAGATGTGCTAGCACGAGACAGCAGCGCTAAAGGGTTTGTAGGGCCAGAGCCAGCAGTTGGTATATCATTTGCGATGGCCAAACATATGATTGGACTGTGGGGTAAAGAGAGACTTCGCCTTTTGAGGACCAGCTCTCCTTGAATGAGACACGATAAGTTGTTTATCAATATCGTCACTGTCAAATCCGGGAATATTTTAGGACTTGGTCGTAGCAGCATTAAAGTTCTAATGGGTGTCTTTACTGGGCATTGCCGATTAAAGACACACCTCAACTTGTTGGGCCTAGCTGACGATGTTGAATGTCTGCTGAATGTTTTATGCCACTGCTGTGCTGTTAATCGTATCAGATTCTCGATTTTTAGGTCGCAGTTTACCTCTCCAAAGGAGTACCGAGCAAGACATTAAGGTTCGTTAAAAGCATTGGGCAATAAAGTTCTGTGGGGTGACGATGTAATATAATGTAGTGCACTAACTTCACATGCATATTTTTGTAATGCCCAAAAAAAGAAATAGAAGAAAATATTAAGACATCATTAACATTGCGGATCTCCAATCACCAATCAGTGTTGTGTACTATCTAAACTTAAAAAGAAAAATATAGAAAAATTCAGACCATCACCATTTTAATATGACGTAATTAATTAACACATAAACACCAGATAATAAAGAGAAAAGTTAAAAACTACTTGTTAGGAAAATACTTACCTTAAAAAAAATGTTAATCGAACACCCCTTCTTTACAAAAACCCTCAATAAAAAAGTCCAACTTAAAAACGCCCTTTTGTGTTACAGACCAAAAGCGAATAAAAAAAAAGCATTATTACCGTATAAAAAGTAAAAAATTAATTAAAATAAAAAAAATATATATATAAAAGAAATAAGATCGAACAGTACCTGAATGAGTGTTGTCGGATTCTGGATTCCACCCGGAAGAAAAAAAATAACAAAAAAAAAAAGAAAAACACTAACATTAAAAAAACATACACAAAATTCCTATTACTAAAAACAAAAAATAAATAAAAGCAATGATAAAACTACATCAAATATTATTATAAATAAATTACGTCGAATAGCAGTATCATGAATACAGGCACACAGCGAGAATGATTAACTAAAAAAATTATAAAACAAAAAATAGGATTAAAATTTTACGTAGCACAAGCTTAAATTATTATGTTTTTGCAAAATTTAAAATGGTTGTGGTGTAAAGCTGAACGTTGATAACGAAAAGCTGCGTTTAGAACGAAATAGTAAATTAAAAATAAATAATTAAATACCTTCTGATTCAATCACTTCGTATACTATTGGGGAGAGAGAAAACCATCCATGAAAAAATAAAAAATCATTTTAGTCAAGTTAATACATAAACGATTTACGTTGTTTTTATCGAAACGAGTCTAAAAAGTTATTGTTTTTGTATGTAAAACAAACAAACAAAAAAGAACTAACTCAAAATAAGTAAATAAAAACGAAAACGATTTTTTGTGTGCATGTTAAAAAAAAATGGCTTTTGAAAAGTGTGCTTGCTACGTACCTTTTGAGATCGGTTCGTCTAAAAAATCGGTTGAAAACGGACATAGAAAAACATAAAATTAGATAAAGTGTTATTTGTTATTTAAACAATAAAAAAATAGACACAAAAACGAAATCACATTCAACAACAAATTGAAGCGGAAAGCTTTTTTGATTATTTCATAAAAAAGAAAGGAGATAAAAATTTTGTCTGTATTCATAATATTACTTTCTCTTTTTTTTTGAGTTTCTTTTTTTTTAATAAAATATATAAATAAAAAATTCTGTACATGCCCCCAAATCAAATAAAAGAACTACAAAAATATTTTACAAAAAAAGAACTTGTCACAAATAAATTTCAAAAAGAACATCAACAGACAAACAGAAAAAAGTGTGTTTATGGTTGTTTAAAATTTGTTTTTCAAAAAAAATTAATTAAAAAAAAAAGTGTTAAGAAAGGAAGTTATATATACCTTTTTTCTGAGAGGTTTCATCTGAAGGTAACACATCCATGCAAAAGGAAGGAAAACGGAAACAGAAATAAAAAAAATCCGTTAGAAAAAGTCCAAATAAAAAAAATAACTTAAATTTTGAAAAAAAATTACTAATTTTTTTTTAAATAGGTATGAAATGAAAAATGGAGAAATGAAATAAATAAAGAAAGGAAAAGAAAGCTTTGTACAGCTTGTTAATTTTTTTTTATATACAGAGTGGTTCAAAAACTGATTTTATAATTATTACAATTTAACACAATTTATTTTAATTGTCAACATTTGTATCTAAAGTCAGCAAAATTAAGTATTATTATAGATGTAAGGGAATTAGTTATGAAATAGATTTAGTTTATACGAAAATATTCATTTTCTAACACTAATAATTTCGCCGAATAATTTGTCTAAATAGCTACCAAAAATTTAATAAATGAATACCAAAGAATGTTGAGTGCTACTTTTTAAGGAAGCATTTTTAGACACATATTTATAGGAACTTTTTTACAGTTGGAATCACGTTGGTGAAGTTTGACCAAGTAATTCAGGTACACCCTGTATATGCGCAGAGAAGTAATAAGGAAAATTTTTCATTAAAAACCTCATGGATTAATGCAGATATGTCAATCTTCATGAGTTCGTCAATCGTTAAATCTATAGATACCAGGCAACAGTAAATGTTAATCAATTCTCGCCAACAAGTAAAAGAGGTGTTAAAAATAAGATCTCAACTGCTAGTTAAAAGACCTAAAGGAAGAGCGCAAAAAGAGATGCCAGAATAAAAAATTACTATTACTATTATTAAATCTCTTAATTTTATAAAAATAAAGAATATGTCAAAATGAGATTGACATTTCAAGCCGAAAGTTGCTTATATCTCGAGTAATATTGAAATTATGTCAAAATTGAGGTTGACATTTTAACCTGAAGTTAGTTATCATATAATAGACAGATGGACAACTTCATGGTGTTCTTTCATCTTGACATATTTGTCAACTTCATAAAAAATCCTTTAAAATGAGTCCAAATTCGACATATGAAAATACAATCATTACCGGTTTAAAACGTCAACGTCAATTATAACACATTTGTCATCTTGATTAAAAAACCTTTAAAATGAGTCCAAAGATGACGCACTTATCTCAAAAAACAAAAAAGTTAGAATAAAAAACGTTAAACCCGAAGTTAGCAACAATGAAGATAACAATTTAATTTTTAAATATTAATACCAACCTAAATTTTTATTTTTTTTTATTATATGTTTGTTTTTGTGACAAATATTAAGACATTTTATAAAAATTAAGAATATGTCAAAATGAGATTGACATTTCAAGCCGGAAGTTGCTTATATCTCGAGTAATATTGAAATTATGTCAAAATTGAGGTTCACATTTAAAACCTGAAGTTAGTTATCATATAATAGACAGATGGACAACTTCATGGTGTTCTTTCATCATGTATTTTTTATTAAAAAAATTTTAAAATGTGTCCAAATATGATGCATTTATCTCAAAAAATCAAAAAGTTCGAACTTTCAACTTTTAATTTTGACATATTCGTCAACTTCATAAAAAATCCTTTAAAATGAGTCCAAACTCGACATATTTAACTTTGATATTAGTAGAGATACAATCACTTTCGGTTCGAAACGTCAACGTCAATTTTGACATATTTGTCGTCTTCATTAAAAAACCTTTAAAATGAGTCCAAAGATGACACTTATCTCAAAAAAACAAAAAAGTTAGAATAAAAAAACATTAACCCGAAATTAGCAACAATGAAGATAGCAATTTAATTTTTAAATATTAATACCAACCTAAATTTTTATTTTTTTTTTATTATATTTTTGTTTTTGTGACAAATATTAAAACATTTTATAAAACTTAGTTATGAAACAGATTTAGTTTCGACGAAAATGTTCATTTTCTAACACATCCAGGAGGAATTCGCCGAGCTTAATTCCATTCCTGAGTGCTTCTCAAATCAACTGTAATGATGTGTTGGTCAGTATTAAATCAGATCAGCCATTATTTTCTCCCCATATCAACATTGATGGGATTTCAACCTTAAAAGCCATTATTTGCTTTATTCGATCATTTTAATCGTCAAGTAATTTGTCTAAAAAGCTACCAAAAACTTAATGAATGAATACCAAAGAATGTTGAGTGCAACTTTTTAAGGAAGCATTTTTAGACAAATGTTTATAGGAACTTTTTTACAGTTGGCATCACGTTGGTAAAGTTTGGCCAAGTAATTCAGATACACCCTGTATATGCGCAGAGAAGTAATAAGGAAAATTTTTCATTAAAAACCTCATATGTCAATCTTCATCAGTTCGTCAATCATTAAATTTATAGATACTAGGCAACAGTAAATGTTAATCAATTCTCGCCAACAAGTAAAAGAGGTGTTAAAATTAAGAATCTCAAAACTGCTAGTTAAAAGACCTAAAGGAAGAGCGCAAAAAGAGATGCCAGAATAAAAAAAATTAAAACAGAAAGAAATTAGTAACAGTAAAAGACAAGTCAAAATGTTATAGAAAATACAACCAATTCTGTCTTTGAGTTGAGTTCTAGTGGTGGTGAAACCTTTGAAGATATGATAATGAGCGATAAGGAGTAATTAAATGATGGCAACCTAAACTATCATGCTTGATTTAGTCGTAGATCAATAGTGGTGATTTTTTTTGTAGTTAAAGTGTCAAGGAAGAAGACTGGATTATGTTGAGAAAATAATAAACTATAACAAATTCGTAAACCACACAGCATAGGGAGGAACTTCGCGTTGTCAATCAGCATTTCTACTTAATGTCTTTTTTGGCTACAATGTCAAGTAAATCCTTCTGATTATCGTTTTTTAATGTTTAGATAATCACATAAAAATTTGATAAAAATAATGAGGTGTTTATAAGATAGAAAGATAATTGCTTCTTCTACTGGAAATAGGATTACTCCTTACTATGACAAAAAGTAAAAAGATGGTTAATAAAAATGGAAGTAAGAGTCAACGACCAAATATTTCTGCAAAGTACAACAAAGATATTGAGCTGCAATTCTGGATGAAATTATATTATATAAATGCATTGAAACTACATATTAAGTGGTCCTCAATCAATTGATTGATTAGCTATTTTTTACAGGTAGCGTCATAAGATGATATCTGTGACTATAAAAGAAAAATTGACAATTTGGCAATAACCAACTTGGAAAAATCATTGACAAAATAATATTGTAAGAAATATACTTGAAGCTTCAAGTACTACCACAACAAGCAAAAATCAGAGCATCAAACAGCAAGAGGTCTGCGTTAATATTTTTATCGCAATTGAAATAGTGTTGTGTAACCACCAATTCATTCATAAAATATATCTGGATGGCAGGTTAAACATCGTAGGTGTCAATCTCATGGCTTCTATTGTTAGAGTGCTAATCAATCATTATTATTTATTTTCATCCTTTTATATATCTTAACCCAAGTTGATTAAAAACCTTCACTATGAGATAGAAATATGGCGATACCAAACTAATCGCTCTCCTTATCGGTATGACGAAGTGACAATATGACGTGTTCCGCCCTGAACTATGAGAGAGGTAATTTGGGAGGATTAGCCCAACCTTGAGCTTATTCTCAGTCTTTTATTATGACTCATTACTATTCTAAGACTAACTAATTGTAAGAAAAAAAACGCATTTTGGTTTCTTTAAAATCTGCTAAAGATCTGTTTTCCTAGAAAAACTTGATATGATCTGTGCGCTGACAACAACAATCAGTTTTATTCAAAATGTATTCTTTCTAATCTTTGCATTCTGATCCTCTAACATCTCATTGTCTCTTTCGACTAGAGATGAAAGAAAAGAACGAAAATATTCTCCACTAGAATATATTTAACTTTAATATTAATGGAAATACAATCACTTCCGGTTCGAAACGTCATCGTCAATTATAACATATTTGTCATCTTCATTAAAAAACCTTTAAAATGAGTCCAAAGATAAGAATTAGAATAAAAAACATTAAACCCGAAATTAGCAACAATGAAGATAGCAATTTAATTTTTAAATAATAATACCAACCCAAGGACAGTAGAATCTAACAGGACTGCTACATCCATTGTATTTTTGTAGTCCACTACGGGTTGGTTGCCCGCACTCTACGTCACACTATTTGCCACGCCTGGTAACTGTCTGTGTTTTTAGAGGTTATATGATAGACATTAATACGTCTAAAAACATAAAACTTCAAAAATAATATGAAGACGTCTAGGATATAATCTTTAAAAATACACAGTAAACGCATAGACCATAACAACAGCTGGGCGTGGAAAATGGTGTGACGTAGTTTGCGGGCAGGTTGTCACAACAATGGATGTAGCAGTCCTGTTAGATTCTACTGTCCTTG